GATGAATATGATTGCAGGTGGAGCAACAGCAAAACCATTTGTTACATTTCATAATGATTTAAATATGAATTTATATATGCGTGTTGCACCTGAACTTTTTCTTAAGGTAAATAGAATAATTAATTTCATTATAATATTATTTTCTTGATACATTTTAATGTAAATCATGTTGTTTATATTATCTTCTATTGAAATATAGAAATACAACTGAAATCAAAGAGACGATAATAGAGATTCTTTCATTTAATATAATATCGAATCTTTACTTGAAAACTCAGAATTTTCATTTTTATAAAAATATGATAAACTATTTGAGATTATCTTTGAATAAGAGTCATTCATTGAGGATGTCCAATTAAACGAAAAAGATGAGAATCAAATATTTGTTTGATTGAACAAGAATTTATTTTCTACTTTATGCAGAAAAATTCTTGTGAATTTTTTGAATATTCATATGTCTATAAGAGCATTATTAAATAGAAAATGAAATAAATCGATTAGTTAAACATCAATATGATTTTGAAAATTATACTATAGAAAGTGATTGTTACTTTTTTAAAACAATCATATTAATGATATTTTAATTTCAATTTTATTGATATTTAAATATATTTTGTCTTTGCTATTTTCTGCTCATTATAATACAATATATTTTAAGAAATAAAAATATTTTGAATAGATTAGATTATTCTTTGTATGCATAGATTCATTTATATTTTTCATATATTTATTTAATGAAATTTTATTTAATAAAAACAAAAAAAAATTAGTATATTTAAACGAATTGATTTCCTCTGAAAGTATATTTATTGTATATTGAATGTGTAAGACGAGAGAAGGTCAAAAAATTATCATTTTTACTTAGACTTCTTTAATAGATGATTCTTTTACTAATAGTATATTACATGAATTATAATCATAAATTTCAACATCGAAGGTAATTCAGTGAAATAATTCTTTCTACTTTTCGAGTTATGTTGACGAAAATTTCAAGTAATTATCTCAAAACTATATGACAAATTTTAGTATAAAATTTTTTGCTTGTTATTGATTGTCTATGAAATTTTGAACCCCTCCTCCTATTCATAAAAAACATTGAGAATCATAATTATAAAGCTTTTTCTTCTAAATTTTTACTTAATAGAAGAATAATAATGCAAAATTTTAGTGTCTTGAAAAATTTATGAGAAAAAAAGATACTCAAAGTATAAACATATTCTTTTATACTTTAATAACAAACCTTAATTTTAAAACAAAAGGATTCTCTGCCATGATCGACATTTTGAAATGTATTTGCAAACGAAAACAAAAATTATTGAATAAAATTAAAGCTCTTTCAAGAATTCTGAGATGTACAATCAGAAAATCATAAACAACAAAAAAATAGCAAAAATTACTATTTGATTTTTCAATAAAGAAATACTTTAGAATGACTAAAATGGTATTTTTTTTTATTTTTATTTTTGTATAGATGTTAGTTGTTGGTGGTATTGATCGTGTTTATGAAATAGGTCGTGTATTTCGTAATGAAGGAATTGATATGACACATAATCCTGAATTTACAATATGTGAATTTTATATGGCTTATGCTGATTATAATGATTTAATGGATATAACAGAAAAATTAATCTCAGGTAAGACAAACAAAAAAACTTTTGAAAATTGTTTATTTTTCATTTGAAAAATATTTTCTGTTTTTTTTGTTGTTTATCTTATTGAAATTTAACATAACGAAAAACAAAAAATAAGATTTTATTTTAAAATTTTTATTTATCAGATTTATTATATTAGAATATGCATAAAGAAAGTAAAATATTCTTTTTAAAAAAAAAAGTGTTTTCTGAAAATTTATTCTTCAACAATATTAATTAATTTATGTTTATCTAATTATAAAGATCTTACATAGTAGAGAAGATCGTTTAATGAAATCATAATGTTAAATTCTCTAAAAGTTTATTAGAAAATAAATAGGATATAACTCAAAAGATTGGTTCTTTTCATTATAACTATTGGTCATTGTTGTTTATCGACTACATATTTAATATTATTTAAGTATCTGCTCACTATTCATAATTTCAATATTCCTCTATATAAATATTCTTTATTTAAATGATCAAAGAGTCAAATTTTCGATATCTAGACAAATAAATAAATCTAATAAATGAACAAGATTTAAAAAAAAAAATATGTTTCTTTTTTTCTTTCGTTTAGGTCTTGTTAAATATCTTTTTGGTACATATAAAATAAAATATCATGTACATGGACTTGATCATGAACCTGTTGAAATTGATTTTACACCACCATATAAACGTATTTCTTTGCTTAGTGCATTAGAAGAAGCTCTTGGAAGAGAAGATAAATTTCCATCAGCTAATGAACTTGCTACAGAGGGTAAAATAAAAGACTAAAATAATAATAATAAACAAATTATGTTTTTAAAAATTAATATTTTTCTATTTTTTTTTCTTTTATAGAAGCAAAAAATTTTTTTGATCATCTTTGTAAAAAACATCATGTCGAATGTACTAATCCAAGAACAACAGATAGATTAATTGATAAAGTAATTATTATCTAAACGAATAAAATTAATAGAATTTTTATTATAAATATTAGTTACAGAGAATAATTATTATTTTGTAATCTTTTTCCATTCTGTAGAAGAAATAGAATCGAAAATCTATGATTCAATATGATTCTCTAAAACTAAAAAAAAAAAAAATTACTAGGAGATTTTCATATAAATAGAGAATAGAAAAAGTCATTGTATCTTCAATAAAGTAAAAGGTAATATTCTCTGATATAATTAAATACATCTTATTTCATTATTGATAATACATTCTTGCAAGAATACGTATTTAGATGTTTCTATAGATCAATAAGATTTTCGATTGAATTATTTAATATCAACTATACGTATGACCATAAACTAAAAGGTATTCAATAACTTATCTGTTAACGTGCTCATTTTAGACATTCATAAAACTTACAGTAGAATATAACAGACAGTTTCAAATAGTAAACCTATATCGATTGAATATATTAAACTAGCTATTGAAAAATGATATGATCTTAGTTGTTCATAAGAAAAACTTTTGTATTAGATATATGTAGTAGAGAGTGTGAATGTGTTTGATGATTAGTTTCAAAAGAAACAATAGAATTCTTGATTTTATTTTATATAATTTTAGCTTGTTGGTCATTTTATTGAACCACATTGTCTTAATCCAACATTTATTTGTGATCATCCACAAATCATGAGTCCATTGGCAAAATAGTAAGAAAAAAAATTATTTTTTTTATCTATAAATATCATTCATTTTGTATTATCTTTGTTTTGTTTTTGTTTTTGTTTTTTTTAATTTAGTCATCGTTCTATACCTGGTTTAACAGAACGTTTTGAATTATTTGTTTGTTATAAAGAATTATGTAATGCATATACTGAATTGAATGATCCACTTGTACAACGTGATATGTTTGAATTACAAGCAAAAGTAAATATCATTTTTATCTTATATATTCAACTTTAATAATTAATTATAAAACAAAAAATTAATAATATTTTATTTTATTTTATTTTTTTGTAAGAATAAAGCAGATGGTGATGAAGAAGCTCAAATAATTGATGAAAGTTATTGTAAAGCACTTGAATATGGTTTACCACCAACAGGAGGTTGGGGTATAGGAATTGATCGTTTAACAATGATTTTAACAAATAGTAATAATATTAAAGTAAGTTATATACAATTGATCAGATTTTATTGTTCATATAAATATAGATATAATTATGATTAAATCTATTTCATTCTTGTTTTATATTAAAATATAACAATACTCTATATTTTTACATTTATAATTCATTCTAAATGTAAATGCATATCTAAATAAATCAGGTTAATCAAATAGAGTCATTGAATAGAACAAATCATCTTCATGTCATGATCGAAGAAAATTTTATAGGAATCGCATTTGAACTGAAGTTCTTTTGAACTGATGAAAGAATTGTTTCAAATGATAAATCACTTTTCACTTCGAACTTTATATGCAAGATTTTAACTTTAGTGAGATATGAAAAGAACCAAAAGAGTCAATGTCCATATCTATTATTTAACTCCTAGATAGATCGATTTATGATTAGAATATTGATAAAAATCAATGTTTTAATGAAAATGTACATTTCAATCTTCTCTTCTTGATGAAGTGTCAAATAATATAAGAATTTATATTTTAAGATTGACAAGAAAAAATAAGGATCAGTAATTAAACATCAAGAATAATCTCTAGATACAAATATATCAAATGTTTGTTATTGATATACAGAAAAACGAAATAATATTGATCAATAGTATATAGAAATACTTTGAACTTATGGAAACTTTTATTTTGCATTATATTCGTATGATAATTAATCTTCTAATATTTCATCATGTTCATTTCATTTTCTTCACATGTCTACAAGCAAAAAAAAATTTCATCAAACTGAATTGTAATAATACTAATGTTAAGGGTACAATATGAAAAATATTTTCAATTTTGTTTTTTTTAATATTCAATTTCATTTTGAAATAGAAAATAATATTAAGAAACTTGACAATAAATGGAACTCTCTCTCGATGAATCAAACAATTATGTATCATTTATGAAAATGACTTGTTTTTCATAACTATTCTTTATAAACTTATGATTTTGAAAGTTCTTTATTATTTTAAATGTATTAGATCAATAATTAATTATATGATAAGAGATGTGTTTTATTTTTTCATATGTTTATATTCTTATAAAGAATATCACATGTAGTTTGAGAATTTTGTTTTTCTTATAATTTAATAAAAACAAAACAAAAAAAAAATTGAATTTATTTATTCATTTTGTAGGAAGTATTATTGTTTCCAGCTATGAAACCATATCGTGATATTCCAAGTAATGTTACACAAACAAATACAACTGATGGTAATATGGAACAAGATGGAAAAGAACAAAATAGTTTATATTTGGAAATTATGCGACAACAACAAGAACTTGATAATAAATTACCTACTGGTCAAATGAAATTTATAATTGAAGATCGTGTATTTAAAGCTATTCCTGATTTACGTGTAGCTATTATTATTGCAAAAGATATAAAATATAATGAAAATGCTATATTAAAAATAAAAAAAATACTTCAAACATATTGGAAAGAAGGTGCACATGCATGTCAAACATATCCAAATGTTCAATCACATCCACAAATTAAAGCATGGAGAGATTGTTTTACATCACTTGGTGTACCTGCTAAAAAATATGCATCATCAGTAGAAAGTTTATTAAAACGTGCTGTTAAACAATCTGAACCACGTTCTATTAATCCATTAGTTGATCTTTATAATGCTATGTGTGCTCGTTATATTTTACCATTTGGTGCATTTGATATAGATGATTTATCAAAAGATATTCCATTAGAATTACGTTTTACAAAATCATCTGATACATTTATGGCATTAGATGAAAATGAATCTAATACAGTACCAGAAAATGAAGTTGCTTATATTGTTGGATCTCAAGTTGTTACGAGACATATTAATTGGAAACAATCAAAATATGGTTTAGTCAAAGAAAAAACAACTAATATTATATTTATGAGTGAAATTTTATCTTCAATACCACAAAATGTTTTAGAACAAATGATTGTTGATTTAGTTCAAGTAATTAAAGATTTGTTTAATGTTGAATGTCGAGTACATATTCTTGATGCTTCACATCCATCAATTCAATATTAAACAAAATATATTAAAGTTGATCATCATTTGGATTTATTGTTATCTTATATATTGGTTGTGGTTTTTGTTTTTTTTGTTTCTAAATAAAGACAACATTTTAAACATGAGAACAATTGATATTGATTTCAATAAAAGAAATTAAATTTTGTTTATCTAAGTCTATGATCTTTTTTCAAAAAAGAAACTCTTATGCAACTGATAACTATGAATAACAATGGACATTATATGTAGATGTATTCATTTCTATGATTGTATGACTAATAAATCAGAGATTATTTTCAATAATCAATCTTTATATATTCATAATGTATTAATATTTATCTATCTATATGTATATTTAAGAGCTTTTCATAGGCCATTCCATCGAACCAAACTTTTTCCAAAGAATTCAATAAGATAAGACAAGACAGGTTGAAACTTTTCTCGATCCGGCTCTAGGATAAAATTTCTGTATGTTTTTGTTAGAACTATAGTTTATGAAATAGCTGTATGGCAGTAAGTTATTCTGTTAATTATATCATGAAAAGAAAATCAAAAATCCACTGAAGGTCTAGAGATCGATACTTTACATGTTCATATCTCTTATGCTTTATTCAGAAAATCCTGTAAAGATCCTGCCAAAAAATTGATAAGATTCTGAAAGAAACTTAGTCCGATCTTGCAAAGCTTCTGTCAAAATATTCGATAACATCTTCCAGGAAATCTAGTGAAATCCTAAAAGATATGATCAGAAATCTTTTGTTTTAATTTAGAATTATTGAAATCCTGGCAGGATTCTAGAATTCGTGGCTACATACTTCATTTAGGGTTTTGTCATTTCCTCAGGAAAAAACAGCGAATCCTTAGAGGACCGTGATCATATCTGTCAAGGATCTAGCGGCTGCCCAGGTCTCGCAGAGGTCCTTCTTCGTCCTTCCTTACTCCTAAAATCCTTTTTTTCCTTCTTTTTTTATTTTTCATGCGAATAGGTTCTCAATAACATCGAACAACCTGATTAGCAATACTAAGCTAGAGTTTGACACTGATAGGAAGCTCTCAGACTTCCAGAAAATGTCTTATTTACCTCAAATCCATTGCAAAGTTCGCTATACTTAGACTAAGATACGCATGTGCGGCTTCAGTTTATGTGGGGCATATATACAGAATTTGAGATATGTAAAATAGTGCTTTTCTAGAATACGGTTTCTGTCGAAAATTTCGGACATTTACTTAGTGAAACAGCATAGCTGATGCTGAGCCATCTTATAGTGATAGTCTTATAGCTGCCTGTGCGAATAGTCTTTCGTGACGTATCGATGTTCGATCGAGATTGTCGGATTGTCGTTTAGCATAACAAAAGACGGACAGTTTTATTGATGTCATTGTTGATAAAAAAAAGCACAAAGGCAACCGACATTGATTAGTACTCAATGATGGAGCTTATACACGAAAATGGGGGTAGTACGAGCAAGTTTATTTCAACTCAACTCAAAATCAACGTTCAATTTTCTACGCAAATTAAGTTGGTCAATCAGTTTCAGACATGATTTTGAACTTCTCCACTAGAACCATAGTTCTTAATATGTTTTTCAAGTTTTCCGTTCGGCTTGGAGTTTCAGAGGCGACTTTGGACTTTTCTGGTCGAAAAATTCATAAATCACAATGGAACTTCATATCGATCGAGAAACTGGAAATTTATTCAGTTAACTCAATTCGATGAAGGACACAAAAGCCACACAAGGACCCCATTCAGAACGAGAAACTTAAATAAGCGTATCTAGATCAAGGAAGTCGTAAGGTATTTCAATCAGGGCTCCGATTGGGATGGGACCATACCATTCTATGGAATATGTTGTTTTTTTTAAATATCCCATAGGATAGGATGGGGCGACTTTCTCGTCTTATTGGATTTTGCTTCTTTTTTTTCTCATGAAAAAATTCAGGTTCTTTTTTGATGAAAGATAGACTGAAGATAATCTATACAACCCAGTTACTTGAGAAAACGCTGTTCTACCGTTAAAACGATGTTTAATGTCACATCGTTTAAACGATGATATATTGACCAAATTACGCGTTTATCACAAAAGACGATTTTGTATGTCATAAAGTAATACTATGTTCTTGTCGTTTAAACTTCGAATTGTAAATGTTATAAATAGTGATTCGTTGACGTTAAAACGATAATTTTTTATTATTTCATCTGTCGTAAACGATTCTTTAGTTGAAAAAAAAAGGATTAATATTCAAGAATCATCTTCGTCTTACTTGTAACTTGACCATTCATCTAATTTTATTAATTTGATGATGGACAATACACGTTCGTTCTTTTTCTCAATATCTCAATACATTTCAATGAGTAGGTCTCAATTTGTTTTCGAAAAAGCATAAGTTAAATCTTTAACAAGTTAAAATATTTATTTAAAGAAATGAAAGTTCGGCATCTATATAACATAAGACATGAGTAGAAGTCTTTTCTACAAACTTTTCTTTTTGTTTTGATATTTGTTCAAAAGACTTCTACTCATACCTTATGTTTTAAAGATGCATGAACTTTCATTTCTTTAAATAAATATTTTAACTAGTTGAAAATTTAACTTCTACTTTTTCGAAAACAAAATGAGACCTACTCATTAGAATGCGTTTAGATATTACAAAAACCTGACTACACTCTTTCTTCTGACACATCGATCGTTTTTTAAAGTTTTTTTTCTATACTCTTCGTAGGTAATTAGAAATTTGTCGATCGCTCAAGAGTGATGCGTTTGTCTTACATTTGATAAATATTCTATCGAAATCTTCTCAAGTTTTCGTTATGAATTCTCAAGTCTAGTTTATTCTAATATCTATGGAGAAATATATAATTAGTTACAAAGTTGTGATTTATGATAATCTCGATGAATAATGAAAGAAGAATCTAAATTAGTTTATTAGTATCAGATATATATGTGATAATGAAACTTAGATTTTTAAGAAGAATTAATGAATTGATACCACAAACGAAAAATTCTAGGGGAAAAATACCATAGATAAAACGATGTCAATTTTTTGGTATATTTTATCAAAAAATATTGAAGAGCAACACTATTGACGTACTTCTAAAATTTATTCATTGTTGAGACTATTTTTTTTTCTCATTCTTTAATAGTCGTTTGTCGTAGATAAAATAATTTATTGCTACAAAAGTTAACAGAGCAGCTAAGCTTTTTATTTTGATTACTGTAATCTTTATGACTTAGGCATATTTATCATCTAGTTGTTCTTTTAAGATTTATACTGAAAACGGAATATATACTCAGCATTATATTCTTTTTATGGTATAAGAGTTAAAAAATTAAAGTTTCTTTGCGTAAGAGTTTCAATCGACGACGAACTCAGTAAAATAACAAGCTCTAAAATGAAATCATCAATGAAACTAAGCTATTTAACATTTTTTTCAATTGATTTCTTAAGATCAATCAGTGTGACGTTTCGTTCTAACTAAGAACATTATCAAACACAAATAAATAGAGAGAAGAAGAATATATATAAGAGTAAAATAATGTCTTCGTTTTTCTATTCTATTCTTTTAAACATTCTAATGCAGACGGATCAATTTTACTCTCGCCGTGCCTTGAAATGATTAAAACAATAGAATAAAAAACGATGACATTATTTTACTCTTATATATATTCTTCTGTCTATTTATTTGTAATGTTCTTAGTTAGAACGAAACATCACACTGATTGATCTTAATAAATCAATTGAAAAAAATGTTAAATAGCTTAGTTTCACGAATGATTTTATTATGGAATGTGGTGCTACCAAATGACAAATAAGTTCTATATTATATATTTTTTCTACGAATATCGTATTTTGTCAACTATCTCGATAGAATGTACAAGACAGTTTTCCACAAATACTATCCTAAGAAAAAGCAAAAATAAACGCAGAAGGTAAGGTGAAACTAAATCCTCTACATCGTTCAATTCTGAAGACTTCTTCTATTAGAGTTATCTGAATCTTTTTGCTCAGGTTTTCTAAGCTCGACCAACGGTCAATAAGAATTCTTATTCACATTTCGTATAGAGTAAATGTGTGAATTTCTTCGTAATCTGAATAGTATTTTAGATTAAATTCAGATATCATTCATGTATCTTATATTTGTATGCATTCACATTGCTCGCAGAAGTGATGTTTACTTATTGAGCAATCTTCATCGAATGAATGAATGAATGTGCTGGACGAATTTATTTTCTCTTTTGTCCTTCTCTAACGTTATTCTTTTTTCTTTTCTCTTTGAACTTTTTCTTTTATTTCTTGACTTAAATTTTTCTTTTCTTCCTTTTGCTATTCTATCTCTCCAATTTGATTAAGACTAACAATCAATTACTAAACATATGAGATCCGTTCTGTTTATGCCACATATATTTGTCGAATATATATTAACTGAAAATATTACTCTCTTTTGACTTGGCTAGAGTTTCTAATTGAATTATGTAGCTCATAATTAATAGTGTTGTATTGCTTGTCATAAAACGAGTTTCAATTAGCTCATATACTGATAAGTTGATAATTTGTAATGAAAACTCTAATGCAGCAATTTTATGTTTGAGAATATTAGGAACTTATAATGTATCGTACGTTTCGAGCTTTGAACATAATCAAAAAATTAGGATTTCAATGTGAAAATTGAGACTTTAAATCAATAAAATCAACCTGTATTTTCTCGATATTCTAATGTTCGCACCAACACATGATTTTGATTCATATGATGTCAATGTTATGCGGATTCTTACTTTAATCAAAGGAACTCTTTTTCGCACAATTAAATCTACAGCGAATACTTTTTTGAAGTAATTCAGCAGATCAAAAGATAAATGGAAGCTCCAAATGGACTAAATGTCTTTCACGCGTACTATGAAACAATAAAAAAATACAAATTCATGAGAATATAAATAATTATGGGAACCAGTCCCAAAAAAAGATTAATCTACTTTGAGCATTTACAGCTGTTTTCGTTGTAAAAGATGATCATAAACATT